CATTACAGTTTTGAAGAAAAGATGTGGTCATGAAATACAGGAAGAGGGTGAAGTTTCCTGTTATAATGACCTTGGCTATATTTGGATAAACTAAGCAATCTGACTACTGTACAATGGGAATTCAGGTATGCATGTGTCCAATGCACAAAAATGCCACAATAGCAGCTCCAGACCCATGGACCTAAATGTTGGAGGGATCTTTACAACACTGATCACTGGGCAACCAAAACGTGGCACTCTGAGGCTTAAGGAGATTTGGGGATTAAAGACACAGTCACTTTAGCAAGGATTATTTTACTGAAAGAAATTAAAAGTTACATCCAAAAGGTCAGGTTAAGACTTATGGTTTAAAAGAAGAGGAAGTCAAACAGGCATTTCTAATGCTCAAATTCATTCACATAAAACTCCCTGCAATACTGAGAACCAGTTTGCTGTAATAGGACCTTCATCTGCATTTCTGATATATTTGTACTTTGGAAGCCTTATGATTCAATTGCTTTAACCACATAGTTAGTTTGAACTACCAGAAAATATAATGAATGATGTGAATTAATGCTGAACAGTGATTTGGATCTACATTCTCATGAGGTCAGAACAGTAACCATTAGAGAAAATCCTTTCATAAACACTACATTACTTAAAAATCCAACTAGAGCTGTAGAAAGCCTTAGGGACAAAAATGGTTTGCCAGTTTTGAAATAGTTTCCCATATTTGTATGTAATAGCAGCTTTTAGCTACCTTCTGAGTAGAAACTATAGATAGGATCAGCCCAAGGTAAGCTGGTTGATAGCATGGTCAAAACCCAGCTGGACTGATAATTGAAGTTCATTTTATTGAAACTATTGTCACTGGTCTAAGGGATGCAGAGGGATGATGTGGGATGCAAAGCTATGCTAGGAAGAATGTCTACTGTGGCTGACTTACTCTTTCATTCCTCCAGATTTCAAAATTTTCCAGCTCTTCTGGCCAAAGCTGAGCATTCTGAAAATTGGGCAACCCATTTTAGGCCGCCCAGGGTGGGGGAGACAAATTCCTGGTATCTGGAGCAACAAATGCAGCACCAGCATTTACCATACGAGTAGTGGACCCATTTGTTACTACTCAACAAATTTCCTACAATGTTGTCTGATGTCCAAGGCATGGCAACCAGCAGATCAGACCAGGTTAGAGCAAAGAATCTCAGAGGAGGTCACAGCTCTGGTTAAGGCCAAGGAAAGACATTACAAGGATTGTGCCTGGTCTTTGAATGCCTGTTTTACATTTGGGAGGCATAAAATAATTCTATGTTTGGGGAAAAAAATTCTAAAATAACATTCTCCCTCCCCCCCTCAAAAATCAGATAAAATCCCATGCTGAATTGTTTGTTTATTAGAATTGTCTACTGCTGAATCTGGAACAACTCAGCAATTTACAACATAAATAATGCCATTGGTATACAATTAGAATTGTCCACAAGGAAAAACATAAAACCAGACAATCAATAAAAATAACAAACATGGGCAGTAATTATAATGAGGAGAGGGATTTCCTTCTTCATTACATCAAAATTAATGCCCTGCCTTAGTGCTAGTGCCTTGGAATCAATTCTAGACTCAGTGCCACAATATTAAAATAGTGGCCATCTTTTTATCTCTTGGCTGTTTCAGGAAGATTAACTCTTTATAACTAAATGTGCAAACAGACAAACACACATACAGAGTTCTGTTAAGTTGACTGGAAGCGCAATGCAGTCTGGTGACATTCTAAAATTCCAGATTTACTTTAAACTAAAGCTGAGCAATATGTTTGGAACCTTTTTCAGCTGGGACTGAAGATTTAGAGAGGTAGGGCTGAGGTATCATGAAACTGTGCCCTGTTGTCCACAGCATCATTCTAAAGTGAAGGTCCCTGTCACACCCGGAGGTTGCAGGAGGTCCTCTGCAACTGATGGTCCATAGTCAACCCTGCACTATAGCATTGCATTAGTGCCTCTGGAGCGTTGAGGCTGGTGGCTTCCCACTGGGAGGAGCTTCAGCCTCATCCTGTCACCTGATTCCTCAGAATTGCCTTCCGGCTGAACTGAAGGGACCATGGCACCTCGCCACCATTTCCCCATGCTTTGTTGCCCCCACTCCTCATTGGCTTTTTTTCTTGTTCTTTCTGCAACCAACAGATCTGGTATGGCAAGAATGAGGAAGACAGCTGGGCCCTGGTTCATGGCCAATTTTTGCATCCACCATTATCATCTGGACAGAGCCCTGAAGAATGTGAAGGGTGGCAAGGCCAGCAGCAGCAAGGATATTAGCAGACTGCATAGAAATGCATCAAGAGATTTGCGGGTAAAACAGGTAGCTGGCCAATAGTGCCTTAAATCAGAGAAAGGGCAAAAATATGGAACCATGATAGAATAAAACTTGTGAATTAACCTTATTATTCAAGATGATATGTCCTGTCACCACCCCCAATAATTATTTCCAAATAGTTATGATCAGGGCACAAGCCCAATTAAAACTATAGAGAAGACTGAGGTAGAAACAAATTAGTGTTTAAACTGTATTTCAAATGCCCCAGAAGAAAGGGATTTGGGGAGAATAAGAGGCAGAATGCAAAACTCCTTTCCACAAATATGAATATTGCCATTTAGCTCTGCTTTTTTAAAAATAAAACATTTATATTCCACCTCCCTTTTAAGTGACTCTCAACATCAATAATAATACAGAATTTTAGAACAAAGAACACTATAGAAATATATAACACAGAATGATAAAACAACCAACTTTAGAATTATAAAACATTAGAATAACAATTTTAAAACGCTTAAACCTTAAGACAGCAGCTTAATTTTTAAAATGTTTTTTGAAATTAGCAACAATATTGACACGCGGGTGCCAAGATGCGTAACAAACCCATGTTGGGATGGGGAAGGGCATCTTTGAACAGAACGTGTGAATGCATGCAGAAACAAAGCATACCTAAATTAATTGATGAGGGTCATGTGAGTTGTCCAGGAAGGCTTGAGTTATGAAGAGTTCTTTTTTTTTTTTCAGATAGGAAATTATAATAAAACTGTAACAAACAAAAAAACTTCTGAAATTCTGAGAGGCCCCCTTCAGACTGTGAAGCCCTAAGCTGGCATCTGAACCTGGCTCCAACTTCAGGAATTGTTGAGACACATCAGAACTTTAAAGCTCATCACTGCCAGAAAGTTAAAATGCTAAGCAAGTCATGGGAATTAAAGAAGAAGGGCTAAAAGTGGACAAAGAATTCTATACCTCATTCAAACATGAAGATCAACTAACAACCGCTGGGAAAAAAACCTTTGGACCTTGCAAACGGGCTTTACCAACTTGCCAATACATTTCATGGCCTGGCAATGCAACAAGAGTTATCACCTGCTAATATCTAGTTGCTGTTGAAAACATAGCCTAGGCATTGATAATCAGAATTGACAGCCTTATCTGCCAACTGTGCCTGGCACTGCATGAAGTAAGAGCAAATTTTGGCCTCTCCAAACTGGCTTTCAAACGACAATATCCAAAACACCAGCCAGAATTTGGGAGCTCTGCAAATTACAACCTTAAACATGTGAAGAACATCAGACTGGGAAAGGCTAGTTTGTTCCGTAGCAAATTCATATGTATTTCTCTTTTTAAAAATTATAAGCCACCCTCTCACAATTTGGGACTTTGGCCAGTGTACAAAAATAAAAATTTTCCTTAGGTGTCAAAGCTGTACTATATTCTGTAGCATGAGGTAAGCCAAGAGTTGAGCACCAGCAGCCGAGACCAAAAGCAGACAAGAACACGTGAAGCCCAAGAGGAACTTCTTGCTCAAGCCAGGATTTGCTGGCACAGAAAACCCCCTTAGGCTTCTTTCTGTCCAAAAAGACTTATTGGTCTTCCTGGGGGGATGGAGTCAATCCAGGGCCTGGGACCCCTTTCAGACATGACTAGGTGCAGTTCTGTTCCGCACCACATGGGGGTGCTGCACAGATATTCATGTACTCCCTGTTCATATCCAGACATCAGAGCACTGGATGTAGTAGTTGTGTCATTTTGCAACTCATTTTTGTTTTAAAAAATCTGCTTTTTAAATGCCTTGTTAAAATATTCATTAGCCCAATGAAACGAAATGTTGATGATGAAGAGATGCCTGAGAACTGCTTCTCATGCAGCATATTTTTCATGCGTCATTCTACCTTTTGACAGACCACGCCTGCAATCTGCTGGAGGAAAACTGGGAATTCTGATTAATCCACCATGTCACAGGGCAGATCAGGGAAACAGGTGAGATTTCTCAGCTGTGTCTCTGCAACCCTAATTTCCTTTCTAGTAGAAATAATTCAGCTTAGAACTAGTGAGAAAAGTTCACTTCCTTTTATCCCATTGAGTAATATTAGTCTATTTCTGGATGCAAACAGGGAAACAGCATGTCCGCATGTCCTACGCATCACTGTTTCCATTGCCCAATACCTGTGCTGTAGGTTGTTTCTGAAAACAAATCTGTTTTCTTTGACCATCCCTTTGGATGAATTATTCATAGGGGCCCAGTAACAGAAGCCTTTTCCTTTGTATTATTCTTACGAAATCCTATTATGCTTATGAAGCAAAGAAAATCCTGGTCAATTCCACAATAATATGTGCATTATTCTCTGGCGAGAGACGGCCCTGCCTTTGGGCAAACTGGATGACTTTTTGCTGTTTCCCAGCTATGCATATCACATAATACTCTGCAGGGAGCTGCTCTTGTGAGTCTGCGGTTCTGGGATTTTAGGAATATTTTCCTGCCTGAGATGGTGGATTCTGGGAGCATCACTTTCTCTGAAAGGCAGCAGAGCAATAATGCAGCCCTTGAAAACTCTCATTCTGCCCACTCCTTCTTTGACTCACATATGCAAAAATCAGCCAGCCAACTCATTGGCTGCTTTGATATGTGGGTGTGGGGGAGAAGTGGGAGGGAAGCAGGAACAGAATTGGAGGGAGCTATCACTCTCGGTATCAGTCCTGAGAATTTCCTTCTCTGCCCAAAGAAATTCAGCAGTGTGCTGAAAGAGACAGAACTTAGAAAGAGCACCGCCAGAGAGACAGAGAGACAGAGAGAGACCCCTGACTACAGTTTGCAGCTGTTTTTCCCCTCCTTCTCTTCTCTGCACAGGTAATGAGATACTTTTTTCCCCTCTCCAATTGATGCGTGACTTTTTTTTTTCTTTTTTTGAATAGGAAACAAGGCAGGAAGTTAACTTCCTTGACCTGCTCTTGCATTTATCTTGTCACTTAGTGGGGAAATAGTAGAGCAGATCCTTTCAGAAAGGGTCATTTCCTCAAGCTGCACAGGACTATATCCCACCTATCCTGGTGAGGAAACTGCTGACCAAGCAAAGTTCCCAGAGTCAAAAGTTACAGTTTAGGCAGGAGAAAAGTATTTTGTTCCACAGCCAAAAGGAAGGAAGGAAGGAAGGAAGGAAGGAAGGAAGGAAGGAAGGAAGGAAGGAAGGAAGGAAGGAAGGAAGGATTTACTACTTTATTGTAATTATGAAATAATTACAGCAAATGTTGCTCTGAGGAATCCCTAAGCCACTAGTGTTCCTTAGAAGAGCATCAACTGTGCTTCTGAAGGTATATGTTACAAATTTTAAGGAAAATATTTTGGATTCCTAAATAGAGCTCACAGACTACCTTGCTGTGGATTACTGGGAAGTGCACCAGTTGTTATAATAGTTGTTACAAGTTTTCAGCAATGAGGACGCATATGTTAAGAGAATTTGCTGACATCGTGTCCTTGAACTTGGCCACAGTGCTGATTCCAACTTGGAGTGTAATGGATCTGTTCAGTAGGTTGCATCTATATTTTCTATTGCCACCTTCATTTCATGGCAGAAAGCAGAAGGAATAACGAGAAGGCACTTTGAAAACTAAGGGCAAGGTATGAGAGGGGACAGTGCACCCCAGAAATTTGACAGCTTTGACCTAATGATACCAACAAATGGCCAAATCTCTGAGTAGAACATGTGTGCTATTTTGGAGCCCACAGAAAGTATAAGCTATCCTCTACAGTCCTGAGAACTAAAATTGTGGTGGTGGTGGTGGTGGTGGTGGTTAGTATCAGCTGATTTATTCTGAATCTCTTTGTTTTAATTTTGAGCAAGGGTGGGCAGGAAGCAGAACTGGAACTATCACCAGTAGATCTCTGAGTGATTTGCAACAGACCTGCAAGAACTTCTGATTCCCAATTCTTTAACAATAGGTGCAACACAATGATTCTGTTCTTGCTGTAAATCACACTGCTAAAAGAAAGCTTGGGATAAACAGACATGGATTTTTCAATTGAAAGCTTGTGAGCTCCAATCAGTTCTGGTATTCAAAACAAATTTCCAGTCTCAGAATTCCTCTAAAGTGAGGAGAATTGAAAGTGAAAAGAAACAGGTATGAGTTTCCTAATATTGTATGATGGAAGGAACAGCTTCAGAAATGAATTCAAACACATTTGTTCCATCATTTCAAAAGCATCTTAAAATACACACCTTACTGTCAAGCATGCTTCTTTTAGCAATGCTTGCTCATTTCTCTTGAGCCGCAAAACTCATAAGTGACTGCTTGTTGCAGTGAAAAAAATAATTTGGACAGCATCTCTAAAACTTTTATAATTTTATTATATAATTGTGATATATGTCTTTATCTTGCTGTGTTGTCTTAATTTTTAATTCTAAGTGGATGTCAAAGATACAGATGTTAAAACTATTTTCTGTGAGAATGTACAATAGCAGGTGTTGTTGAAATATAAATATTTGGGCTGGCTGTAGAAGAGGGATGATGAAAAGTAGGATTATCTAAATGAGAAGTTCTTTCAGATGGGAAGACTAAGCATTGGTTGCTAAGTGCAGCTTTCTTATCATTCCCATTAGTTATCTCAGTCTTGAATCATGCTGATTTACAAAGGAACTGCACACACTAACTATTGGAAAATAATGCAATCCTACTCAAAGTAGGATGATAGTAGGAAGGAAATCACATGCGGGAGCAAGAAAGAGAGACATCTTCTAAGGAGGAAATCATATATATAAGAGGGAGAGAAAGAAAATCAAATGCTCATTGTTAGAATATAGAAATACACTGAAACATCTAATCAATCAGCTAACTAATCTTATTCAAAACTATTTTTTCTCCACAAGTTGCCTTACCGTGTTTTATTAGTTGCAAAATGCTTTTGAAATTTTTGAATTGAATGACAGTATAGAAATGTTTTAGATAAATAAATATTCTGGAATATCATACGTTCACACTTACAGAAACGTTTTTGACATACCTGTACTGAAATCAAATCAAGCTCTTTAGGAAAAAAAATTGTTTTTGCTCCAGATCATCAATGTATCAGAATTACAGTGCTCTTAAATTCTTTTGTGCAGTGGTGGAAATAAATTTCAGTCCAATCTGTTTCAGTGTCATAGATTCATATATTATTCCATTCTGCCAATTTTTTTGCAATTAAAAGAAAACAAACTATTGGAAAATCCACATTTGTTGTGGTTTACAGCTTTTCTGATGTATGGAATACCGGGTACAACTTTTTCCAATATTTGGATTTTGTAGAAAATTTCCCATTGTACAGAAAGTAATTTTCTCTAACATACCTTCTCCATGCATTTTGAACATATCATTTTCAAATATGTGCATCCTGATCCAAGTGTTTGAGGTAGCCAGTTACATTCCTTCCTGCCTATGCTACGGTAGTCCATTTTGGCAGATCTCTCCAAGGAAGTGCACCCATTGAAATCCATGGTAGATTGCTTTTAATACCCCAGTGGAGCCAAGCTTAAGAGCCATGGGAGACTAACAGTGGTAGCATTTTCCAACTGTATCTGTCACTGAAATAATTAATACGTTTGTTGAACATCTGCTGATGAAAAGTCTCTTCATTTATCAAGCAGTGGCAAAGTAGATCCATTTGGGTATATTATATTGATGGGAGATATGGGAAGAATTCAGGCTTGTGCACTGGTATCATGGCTGCCAAGAACTGACACAGTCCATTTGTGTTCCATATCACCCAACCCACAATAGACTTTCCAGCTTTTACTGTGGTTGGGAGGGTGTGGGAAAGATTCAGAGTAACATGCACTTGCAGAGAGAGTTTGGCCATCTGTATAACTCATGGATGAAGCAGCAGATTGCCTGCCTGATTATTAATAAATGAGCCTTGAATTGCATTATATTATATGAAGGGAAATGGGAGAAATGAGGGAGAAGAGATTGACTTGTGATATAAGAAGCATCGCTAATGCCATTCATTTCAACCCCTACCTTTTTCCTGGATGGTTTGTGATGGTCAGTAGATTGACACTAGTTTGATGGTTTAAAAGAACATTGCACAGATAATGTATGGGTGAAAGGTATACGCACACTTTTATGGATATTACCCAATGACGACAGTTAAACAGAACGTCTGTGTTCAGAGTCAGTGCATATGAAAATAATGATGGGATTGAAGGCAAAAGTAAATTAGACACTCAGCTCCAGTGAGAGAAGAGATGTGTAGAATGGTTGTGTATCCTGGAGATGCTTTGGATGTGAGATGCAGGTTGGAGAGGAGGAGACCTCTGCATCCTGGATTATTGAGGAAAACCATCCATTAAGGCCAGGAGGGCTTTTGCACAGCTTTGGGCTGTGCACCAGTTACACCCCTTCCTGGATCGGGATGCCCTTCGAACGGTCACTCATGCCCTTGTTATCTCCCAGATA